AGTGCTTTTTCCTTGAGAGGAGTATCCTCATGACCCACATCCATACAACACACACTCACCTTCTCAGCCTCCTGAGTGCACTTCTCTACACGTTCCTGCAACTTGCGCAGCTGTTCCTGTGAGACAGATGAGTCTGCCTTTGCATGATTCTCCCTTGTATGGGCTGTTTTCTCCTCCTTCCGGGCTGCATGATAGTTTTTCTTAGAATTCTCCACCTGTATGAGGAAGATAGAAAGACATGATCACATTGATCCCCCATTACTCACAGAGCGCATGTTAACATTTATTACAGTGAGGAGAAATTGTTTCAGGACAATGTAACTGAAATGCCAATTTGTCATTTAGTAAACCGTGCTCCAAAGGGAAGAGGTACTGCCAAATGACTTCTCTTTCACTGCTCACCTGTCACACAGGAATACCGAACCTGTTACCAAAGTCTTCCCACATGGGAAGGAAGCTACCAAGAATAAGAGACCATCAAGACATCCCTCCCTCTCTGGCATTCTCTGCTACTCTGGCTAAACCCAGTTTGTTTGCCCAATGGCTCTAGCAGTCCAGCAGCCAGCTCAACCACCCTTATCCATCCTTCCCCATTCACACTTTGCTCACATCTTTGATCTTCTTCACCCAGGGTTTCTGGGCCTTGCGGAACCCATCCTCTGCCTCCTTTGTCTCCTTGAAGCCGCCAATCATCTGCTTGTGGTAGGCCTCCTTCTGCCAGGCCTTGATCTTATCCGAGTCTTCACCAGCCAGGTGGTTCCGGACAGCTAAGTGAATTTCACTCAGTTTGTCTGCAGCTGTCAAGAAGGCATGCCAGGCCTTCTCCAGAGTACCATACTGTGGACCTGCAGGAACAAGCACCAGAGGGTCTTTTATACCTCCTGCCCACAGAAGGGAACACACATTCTTTTCCTCCTACACACATCTATCAGTATGGAGTCCCTTCCTTAACTCCCCCCCATCACACAAGTCAGCATTGACTGGTCTCCCTCCACACAGTCCCAACAGGCAGCATCTAGACTAGCTGTTACAGCTGGCAGAGACAGGCATTTCTTTTGGGCAGCCTTAGCCTTCCCAGATGGTGCCTGCTTGGAGAAGGTTTCTGTAGAAAATGCTCTTCATAGATCTGGCCTGAGCTTCAGGACAGACAGTAACACTAGTTCATGACTGTAGCTAAGCATCTGCTTCACAGATCAGCAGGTCCTTTGGGGCATTTGTCCCATTGTTTCCCATTACTTTGTGAGATGCTATCAGTTTGAGCCCACTGCCACTACCTCACAGCATTAGTAGTTATTCTCTGACTGGAGAAGGAGGAGAGACAGCCAAACCATCCTTAAAAGGGGAGATCTGCAGCTTGATTTAAGATTTGGACTGCCCAAGGACTTGCCGAACTAAACAAATAATTATTTTTTCTTTTTAACTGAACACCTGACAATGCAGAGAACACCTCTCCAACTGAATCAGAGCACTAACTACAACACACACACACACACTAAAAAAAGACACTCAAGAAAGTCACTCCTGTCCTGGAGAAGGGAAGCCTGTCCCCCAAGGAAACAGCATTACCTCAGTAAGAGATAGCACTCAAGGAAGAGTGCAATGATTGCATCCTGTTCCCAGTACAACTTGCCAACTTTACCTTTCTCCACATTGGTCCTCCACTTACGGGACCACTCTGTTAGCTGCTGGGCATAGTTCTTCTCTATCTTGGCTCGCTCCTGGAAGCAGGAGATTAAGTCATTGCAGAGCCGGTACCCATCATCCACACGCTTCACTGTCCACCTGTAGTTTCCAGCCTGAAATTTCACACAATCATTTATACTGTAGTGACTTTCACGTTCTTTCAGAGCAGACAGCAGTTCAATCACTGCATGGGGAGGGAGCACAGGCCCTTCTGAAGCCAGCAGCTGGGCTCAGACCGTACTCTGGCACTCTTTCAGGCAGGCACAGCAGTGGAGAGAAGCTGAGATGCTTTGCTTGCCTCTCTCACAGCTCAGATCAGTGTCAGCTGAACAAGGAACTCTCATTCCATAGCATCTGTGGAGGAGAGAGTCACCTCCTCCCTGCAGTAACACACACTGCATTACTGAAACTCCCCAAAGTTCCTCCCTTCCACTCCCAAAGAGCAACATGTCACACAGCAATCTGAAATTCAATCCCCTAATTCCACTGGTGGGAGGTAAGATGACATTCCTACCTCCCTCACACTCCAATTATACTTCCTTACCTCCCAGAAACTGCCCCCAGGAGCCTCCCCGCCAGCATCATCTTCTGATGACATCACCCCCGTTTCCTTGCAGCAGAGAATTTTTGCAGATTTCAGTTAAGCTGCGAAGAGAGAAAAGCAATTTCTAACATAGCACTGGCTGAGCCTTTGCAGAGAGTACAGTTATCCATAACTCTCGGACCTGAAGGAGCCCAACTTACTGTCCTGCAGGCAAATACTGTCATCACTGCACTTCCAGCAGCAGATGGATAGATCCAACAGAGATGCCTAAGACTGAACATGCATCCTCCCTCCCTGCAGACAGACAGCCTCCTTGGCAGGCCTGTAGCATGTTGGGAAAGGATGTTGTAGAAGACAATCTTGGCAAACCTCAGCTGGACAGATATTGGAGATGCTAGTGAATCAAACACCCTTCAACAGCAGACGTCTCTGCAGAGATTCCTTTCTTAAACAAGGCCCTCAGGAGGGTAGTAAAAGCTACAGAAATAGTGGTAGCTACAGCTATTTGAAATCTGCCATGAAAGACTTTAAAATAAGTCTTCTGTCAACAGCGATGACTCCAGCTTCCCAGTATGACTCAGGATTACAACAACTGACTGGAGAAAACAAGGCTGAGCAGTCAGCAAGCAGGCATGTCTTTAATGGGGAGGAGCCCTATAAGCTGCCCACCAGCTGAGCTGGGCTTGAGCAGAACCACAGGAACATGCTGGGGCATACCCAGCCAAATGGCACTGCAGCACACATGGCAGTTACCCAGCAGGACTGCTTCCCTAGAAACATCCCTGTAGAGATGGCATTTCCATTATGCTCAACTCTCACTGCATTAGGCTCAAAATCTAGGCTAGAAGGCAAAAGGTTCATCTCGTACTCTGTTGTCTCAGGACTTTTGCCCATTCCCCTGTGCTAGTCTGCGCTGCCAGTTTGTTCCCAACATGGTGCAACACTATGAATTCCTTGCAGAGAGTTTCAGGGTTGCTCTTGTGCAGGAATGAGAGGGAGCAATAGTAAAAGGCCCAAGCCCAGTCACTCACAAACAAACCCACTCTATTCTAGGCAAGCCTGGGTTAACACAGCATAGATGTCCTTTGCTGCCACTTCTCTTGCACATTCCTAGTTATAAAAAGCTTCCCCCACACCCCAGAGAGGTATCTGCCAGCCCACAGAGCACACAGCAGAAATGAAGGTCAGGTCAAGAGTCCACATCTTCCACCTCCTGCAATCCTTCTCAGTGGCATAAGCCACACTGTGAAGCACCCCAACGAAGAAGGCAGGATTTTCCCACATTTCTTCTGGAAACAGTTTGGCTGTGTCTGCCCAGTATCATCCCATGGAGAGTGTCAGAAGTACATTAATGCTGTTCCTCTGGGTTTCTCCAGAAGGCTGAAAGTGCTGAATTCCAGTCACTGAAGCAAGTTGTTAAATGGGATGTGACACTCAGGTGCACAAGCCTTGAAACCTGAACAATATCTCCACCCATGCCACCAGCTGTCCCTGTCCTCCCTCCTCACCATTTGTCAGCAGGCTGCAAAGCTATCTTATGTGCCTCCAGGGCATGCAACTCTACTCTTGTTCCCCATAACTACATACCTGAAAGCTGAAAGCGAGACACCACAGGCAAGCAGTTGGCAGCTGGCAAGTATATCCCAAGCTTTTCAAAATCTGTGAAAAAGGCTGGAGGAGACAGAGATGGGCACGGTTAGACACTGCTGCTCCTTTGCAGGGATGCTGCCTGTTCTGATACATTGCAATCCTAAGGGTGTCCCCCTTCTGCCAGCTACTAAAACGGGCACCTTCTGATATAGCAGTTGCAGCCACTGTGCCTCCTGAGATGCCACATTCCAGCATGCAGGAAAGATGCCAAATCCTTGTGTCACAGGATCTAGCCCCAGAGAGAGTTAAAATAGAAACATTGGAGCAGCATGACAGCATTGTGCGGGAAAGGTAGCATCACAACAGCTGAGCAAAGGGAACAGCTTAGGCCCGAAAGGCCTAAAATAAGCACGCTGCCCAGGCACCATACACGGGGCCTGGTCCCACCTCACTGTATAGTGTCCAGCATAGCAACCCCCACCACCTTCATGCACTGCTGAATACACTTTTACACATAGCTGGCTTTGGGAGAAAAAGGGAAGGACGTATGCTTTCTCCAGTCCGTTTTTACTAAAGATTAAGAGGATTTATATACAAGACAAAGGATTTCATAACTCTACATTTAAAAGACGTCACAAGAATGCATGTTCTGGTCTAGAGGCCTAGAGTCCTTTTAGCTAGTACTGCCCTGGTAGGATGTGGCTCTCTACCAGCAGAACTTTTTTGTCCCTTGGATCTGTAAGCTGTTCCCATCACATTCTCAGAAATACTTTATTTTGCTATAATGATATAGGTAACTGTCATCAACATTCCACAGAGGAAAGGAAAAATAAAAGGCCTGTAGAGGCTAAGGAAAACGAGGGCAGAAAGAGGCATTTCTGTTTACCTCACATGCACTTCAACGCTTCAATGCAAGATTTACTTCAATGTCAAAAGTCTATTTATTTAAAAAAACAGACAAGAAAAAAAACCTTCTCTGTCAGGAAGGTTTGGGCAACTGGGAGTTAATACAGCTGAGAGCAGAAACTGCAAAGCCTGGAAGTGGGATTTTTAGCCAGACATTAAGACAATTTTGGAGATGGAGTGAAAGAAGGTAGGAAAAGAGGAGGAAGGAAAGAAACGTGGACTGGGTTATTACAAACAGACTATTGACCTTTGGGGCAGAGGCGGGGGAAGAGTTGGGACACTTTTGCATGATCCAAGTCACTGGATAAAGGGTTATAGCTCATCAAAAGACTTCCCAGTGGTTCCCAGTAAAACCAGGCTACACATTCCCAAAATTGCTAAGATTAAAAAAAGTTCATGAATAGTTATGTAAAAGTATACTTAAAAGTGCCCCAGACCCTTTCTTTCTTTGTCCTGATGAAGACATAGATCAATTAGATATGACGCATGAAGGCTGTATCACTTTTTCCACACCACACCCCCATCCCCACTTTATCGGGAAGCAATGCATCACAAACATGCCTTCCATCTCTGGTTTCCAATTCAGGCTGACTACAGCACTAGACTTTGGGGGTTAGTGTGGAAAGCTGTTGTGTATGCTTGTTCATTTGAGGGACAGTGAAGCAAAAACCAACCAACCAAACCCAGATCCATTATTTCTGCAGTTTCCACATTAGAATTTGAGCCATACCTACTTATTTCTTGGGAGTTACAAACCCAAATAACTGGATTTACCATCACTAGATCAACAGGCTCTGAAACAACAGTAGCTGTGCTGGAGCAGACTAAGTTCTTGTAAGCTTCGTAGCCTCTGTAGATAGCAGCCAAAATCAGATAGTTTCCCTCACTCTGAAAACAGAGCAAGCATACATGATGCTTCCCTGCATGGTCTCCAAGCCTCTAACCATTCGTTGACATGAACTTCCTGAGCTGGATGTGGCACCTATGAATTCAGTAACGCTCAATGGATTTATCTTCCATTAATTTCTCCAATCTGCTTTTGAAACCACAGGAGTTTTCAGCATCCACAATATCATGTGGCACAGTATCCCACATCTTAAGCCTGTAGTGTAGTCATCAGCACAGTGGCTAGGTGGGAGAATAAAATAAAGTAGTATAATATTTCTACAGGCTAATCTCCATGACCAGAGTAGCAGCCCACCAAGTTCCATAGCAGTTTTGCAGACTTTACTATAAAGTCCAGAATAATCTAGCCTGGTGGAAGCAAAAAGGTCAAAGAACAAAGAGGACCCTTTTCTGCCAGGCTTTTTCTGGACTTCACGTACTCCATGAGCCCATGTCAGTCAGCAGATCAAATTGGATCTGCAGGCAGACATAGGGAAGGTGCTTAGTACTGCACACAGCGGCTGAAGAACAGCTGCTGCTGTCACCCTGAGCCCTAGAAGAGCAAATAGATTGCCACTCCACCCCTTCATGCTTAATTATTCCTGAAACACTGCATGTGTCATGAGCCACCAAGAACTTGACACCAGGGAAAATCTGAGTTTCCCAGGAAAAGCAAATATGAGTTATACATGCCAAAGCCTGGTGGTTGTTTTACAGCAAAGTAGAGGTGACAGAGCTACTCTGTGGACAACCTGATATAGCAAGAGCCACCACATGATTTAGAGGGGCAGGCAGAGCAATATAGCTAGTTACATTGGGTCAACTAGAGCTGTATGTGGGTCAGCACCACATGTAAGACTCCTTCGGATGCCACTGCCACCCCTGCTAAGAGGAGGCTATCTAGCAAATCATATTTGCAGGACAAAGGAACGTTTATCCCTACCTTCACGCCTTCCTCTTTCAGCGCTCACAGTTAAGAGCTACTTGAGACCTCGTTGCAGCTCCTGCAAGACAAGCTCTCTGAAGGAGGGAGAGTGTGACTACATCTCTATTCACTTCACACCTCCGCAGGATGACTGACAAGAGCATCACGGACCCCCCTACAACCAGCAACATCAGGTACACAAACTGAACCATGCAAATGGGATTTCTGCACAGCTACAACCCTTTCTGCTTGCAGTGTTAGAAAAGCTACTCCCCTCCTTCCCCCAAATACCTGCTCTCACTTATGACCAACATAGTTCAGCTATCAACTGCCTATTAAGTTATCAACAAAATGGCTCTTGGTCTTTAGCTGCAGAAAGGCAGAATGGCTCATGAGAGCCCTACTGGTACTGAGCTCCACTCCGGGAAGTGCCAGAGGGCTTGTCATGGTAGAGCTGTTTCCACCTTTAACCATGTTGTTTATCTCACCTCTGCTCCAGTCAGTCACACATCTCAGACCACAGATCCTTGCCCTCAGAGCAAGGTGGCAGGCTAAAACCTTCCCTTTCAAAACATGTGTGAATCTGGCAACTCACTACAAGACAGACCTTTTTGTTTCATGTTTACACAACATGAGTACAACAGGGGCCTGAACCACAAAAAACCCCTTCTAGACCCAAAAGTAATAATCACTCTTCTGCACTTCAGAAACCTTTCCCTAAGGCAGGTGAAGCAGAGATCCTCTTCCCTCTACAACACACTCCAATACTCCCAGCCTCCAAATGCCCAAGGCATCACT